GCCACAAAATATGCTTAAATACAAAAGAATTGAAATTATCCCATGCATATTATCAGATCACAGTGCAATGAAACTAGAAACGGCAAAGAAACCATAAAAATTATCAAAAACACATTAAACAATACACTCCTGAATAATCAATAGATCACAGAAGAAATCCATTCCCAGAATCAAATGGTAATACCAGTACATCAGAATCTATGGGACACAAAGCAGTCCTAAGAGGGAATTTTATAGCTATGAATGCCCACACCAGAAACACAGAGTGAGCTCAAATAACCTAATGATACACACAAGGTCCTAGAAAAACATGAAGAATTCAAGCTCAAAGCTAGTACAAAGAAGAAAATCATAAAGATCAGAGTAGATATTAATGGAGAACACTATATATATTTTTCAATGAATCAGAGTTCATTGAAAGAAAAAGACAAATCTTTAGCCAATCTTACCAAAAAGATAAAGACCCAAATCAATGCATGTAGAAAAGAAAAAGGTGAAATCACAACAGGCACTGCTGAAATCAGATTATTAGTAACTAATCATGAAAAACCTGTACTCCAGTGAAAACGGGTACTCCAGTAAACTGGAGAATCCAGAAGAAATGAATACATTTCTAGATATATTATGAATTACCAAAACTGAACCAAGAAGATATAAAAACCTATAATATATATAATCCAGTAACAGTAATGAAATTAAGGTATGAATAAAAAGCCTACAAACTAGTATTTTCCACTGGCTTGAACCACTGGTGGTACAAACAGGATCTAAATTACTTTTATCAATCTTTTTACTAATAAATTAATAAAGTCAATAAAAGGACTGAATCTAGTTGCTTGAATTTGAATAATTACTGGCCAAATATAAATATTAAACTATTAAAATCAATTAAAAATTACAAGTCAAGTTTATTTCATTAAATTTATGTTCATAATTTAATAATTCTCTACATTTTAACATGGAATCTTACAAGTATTCCATCACTAATGTATATACTGTATATATGCATTTATAACTGTTATATCACAAATTAGCTGTATTAGTTTAATACCATTTTAATGGTTTCCTTAAGGAACTATAATATGATGACAGCTGCTCTGCTAAATCAATTCCTTTCTTTGCATTATTGTAATCAAACACTCCCTGAGAAGCTGTAGAGGCCACCAAATGAGACAGTCATGCATGTACCATCACTGGTTCAAGCCAGTGGGAAAAATCAAGTTCAAATCAGAGCTGCCTACCAGCGAGAAACATGAATTACAGCACCATCGTGAATGTGCTAATAGCAGCTCAGGACCTGATGGATTCACTGCTGAATTCTACAGGACTTTCAGGGAAGAAATAACACCAGTACTCCGCAAACTCTTTAATGAAACTGAAAGGGAAGTACTCCTAGATTTATTCCTGGAAGCTAGCATTACCTTGATTCTAAAATCAGACAAGGACCCAACTGAAAAAACCACCGATCTATGTCTTTAATGAACAGAGGTAAAGGTCCTCAAAAAGATACTGGCAAACAGAATGCAACAAATAATTTATAAGATCATGCATCGTAACTAAGGAGGCTTTATCTCTTAAGATGCAAGGATGGTTTAATATATGCAAATCAATAAATGCAATACAGCGCATAAAGCAGTGCAAGTATCACACGATCATCTCAGATGCAGAAAAACCTGACACAATCCAGCATCCCTTCATAATTAAAAAACATTTAAAAAGTGGGTATATAAGAACCTTACCACAATCTGATAAAAGGTATTTATGACAAACCTATTGACAACATCCACTGAAAGCTTTTCCTCTAAAAGCAGAAAGACAAGAATGTCCACTACACACCCGTATAGTACTTGAAACTTTAGCCAGAGCAATCAGACAAGAAAAAGAAAAGGGATATGTAAGGAAAAGAAGTCAAACTATCCTTATTCTCATAAAACATGGTCCTTCACATAGAAGACACAAAAATTTTCACCAAGACTCCTAGAATAATCAAATTCAGTAGTGTAGCAGGATATAAAAATCAACACAAAAATCAAGATTTCTCCTGTACAGCAATAATGAACCTAATAATAAATCAGGAAAACAATACCACTTACAATAGCTTCAAGAAAAATTAAATATTTAGGAATTAACCAAGGAAGTGAAACACTGCCATAACGAAAACCACAGTACTCTGGAAAAGGAGACTAAAGAGGGTATCAGAAAGTGCAAAGATATCCCCTATTCTGGATACGCAGAACCACTACTGTAAAAATGTCCATACTTCCAAAACTGATACTATATAATTTTAACTCAATACCAATCAAATTTCCAATAGCATTCCACACAGAACTAGAGAAAATTATCCTAAAATTCACATGGAACTAGAAGAGACCATAATCTAGAAGAGATTAGAAGAGATCATGATCCCACATTTCAAGTTATATTATAAAGCTACAGTGACAAAAATAGCATGATACTGGCATAAAAAGGCATGTGGATCAACGGAACAGAAGGGAACAAAAATACCCTCCAGGAAAGGCAGCCTCTTCAACAAATGGTTCCCCAAAAGCTGGCCATACAAACGCAGATTAAATCTAGACCCCTCCCACTATGTATTAAACTGAAATCAAGACAGATCAAAGATGTCAATGTTAAAACAAAAACAATCTACTGTATGATAAAAGATAAAACTCATGAAGACATGGGTATAGGCAAACGTTTTGAACTCCAATGGCACAAGAAATAGGACTGAAAATCATCAAATAAGATCATAGCAAAGAGCTTCTTCTCCACAGCAAATAACCAACAAAGTGAAGAGACCACTTAAACGGAGAAAAAAATTTACCAGTCATTCCTTGGACAGAGGACTAACATCGAGAATATTTAAAGAACTAAAATTTAGACCCCCTCCCTCAAATAAAAGACCCAACCAAAAAACAGGCAACTGAAATGAGTAGACACTCAGATCAAGAAGGCCAAGTGGCCAATTCGTGAAAAAAAAAAAAATTGAACATCATTGGCTATTAATGACTTTCAACTCAAAACAACACTGATTACATTTTACTCCAGAATGAATGGCTATTAAGAGCTCAAAAACTTGCAAAGATTAGGGGAAAAAGGAACCCTTCTGTATTTCTGGTGGGAATGTACAACCACTATGGAAAAATCAGTATAGTTTGCTCAAAAAACTAAAAATAGGGCTGGGGTTTTAGCTCAGTGGTGCTGCGCCTGCCTCGCGAGGTCCAAAGTTCAACCCCCAGTACTGGGAAAAAAACAAAAAACAAAACAAAAAAACTTCTAAAAATAGAATTCTTCAACCCAGCTAGTCCCCTTCTAGTTAACTTGCAAAGGAGTCGACAGCTTATTACAGTGAAACATGCATACCTCGGTTATAGCAGCACCAAAAATAGATAAATCATGGAAACATCCTTGAAGTCCACCAATAGATCAATAATGGAAATGTGCTGATACACAATGGAGCATTATTCTGCTGGAAAGGATAAATAGAAGTCATCTGTAGAAAAGTGGATGCACCATGAGACCATAATGTTCAATAAAATAAATGAAGACACACAAGCTTGAGTACCATATGGTTTCTCTTATGAGAAACCCATAGTACAAATGAAAGGAAAATAAAAGGTGAGAGGAAAATAAAAGGTAAGAGGAAACAGGTAGATCTCTTCCAAATGGGAAGAGGACCAAGCGATAAAGAGGAGGATGTACTGGAGGGAAAGGGGATGTGAAAAGAATTTAGATGTTAGGTACATGTACCTACTAGCCACAATGAATGTAACCACTCTGCACTGCAAACATGTATTAATAAAACAAAGATGTTAAAAACATGCTTTACAAAAGATGAAGTGAAAAATGGAAGGATGTAATGCCCAAAATTAGCAGTCATCTACAAATGAAGGGCTTCTTAAAGTGATAGAAACTCAAAGCTACAAAATAGTATAAACTATATAATCCCATTTAAAATAATGTCTGATCATTGACAGAGAATTGGCTGTTATATCATCTATTTTCCTCCATTTCTAGCTCTCTAAAATTTGTGTGTGTATGACAAAGACAACATTGTGAAGAATTACTTTCTGGGTTAAGTAAAGGCTGTCAATACTGAATTTGCAAAGTACTCCAGAGGGCTCAGCATAATATGCATAATTTACGTGTAACTTTAAAAATAATTTTGCTGTCTTTAACAAAACTGCTTTTTCTCAACCAGGTCTCTTCGACCAGATTAAAACTATCACTTATGAGTTGAGAATGTGTTTTGATCATAGTGTTAGTGCCAAGTAGGGACAGATTACCACCAACTTTGTTACACATAGAAGGTATATTTGTAATCAAACACACACAAAAACAAATATAATACTTGTCATACTTGTCATTCAATAAAATTAAACATGAAATAATCATGTTGAGTGCTGGAAAAGTAGGCCAAATCATGAGATTTAGATAAAAATTATGAGTTAGAGGGAACGTGTCTTTGGAGTTTGACATTACAAGAATTTTATATCTAATTTTACTTTTAGTATCTATGGCATTCCTTTAACATTACTAGTATTTTTATACTTATCACTCATGCTGAGAACTTTTTGACCACATGGAAGAGAAAATTTCCAGCAGTGAAGGGGCAAGAACGGAGGTGGGGCTGGGGTTGTGGGGAGAGGTTAATAGATTTGTGTATATGTGAGAGAAGTCATTAGGTTAGTAATATACCAGAAACAAAGTAGACAAAGTGAGAAGGGATGGTATAGGGATATAGGAAATGTACAGCCATTTCTTTGTATAAACAACTTTTAGAATTCTCAACTGGAATACCTGATGAATGCAAATCTAATTTCTATTTACATAACTGAACGTTAACAACTGTTTTTAGTAAGACTATTTTATTTTAAATTTTTCAAAATATAAAAATAATAAACATTATGGATATTTAACAAACAAAACATAATTCAACTATAAATAAAAATGTTGACAACCCCACATAAACATGTAAGCATACAAGAGTAATTTTCTAGTTCAAGTTTTGCCTTTTTTACTTCAAGTTTTATTATCACTTTTAAAAATAAACAAAAAGCTGCTACAGCTTAACCAATTACTTTCGCTCCACGCAAAAAGCAGGGAATTTTTTCCCCATGCCAACACACATTCATGAAATGGGATACTTATGGGCACAGGTATTAAACACTGGAATAATCCAGTCTCCAGACAAGAAAAGATTCCTTTGGTGTTTTCAGATTCAACAGTCCACAGAAAATGAATTAAAACAATCAAAGGAAATTTTGCCAGACAGTATGTTTTATGTCACACTCAAAACAGGTTCAGGATTGTGAGAATCAAAAGCAGTATCTACGAATGCTTTGCTGATACGTTACAATTGTATTCACTAAGGTGCTGGAATAGAATTCTTAGAGACAAAATAAAAACTACACATCAATGAAAAACTTCTACACTGTAGTAATACATATCTTTGTAAGTCATCGAATGTTCTGTAAATAATTACTCTGCCTCCTGTTGAGATTTAAGGGAGAGTAACATTACATAATATTTTAAGACTAGAAAATTTTCCATTTGAAATATAAGAAAACAGCCATGCTGAATATCACTTTTTTTTTCATTCCTGTCAAATTAAGAACCTTCCTCTTATTAAAATAAGCTATTCTCTTTTTCTGGGAAGTTCAGCAAATAAATGTACAGTCATTTTGCATCATTTACTTAAATTAAGAGGCGTTTCTAATAAGCTGGGCTTTTCACCTGACTCAATACAGACCACTTTATTACACTGCTAAATCAGAATAAATCACAAGCAATCACAGATTAAAGCCTAGCAAAGTCTAGACAACGGGTTCAAAAATGATAACAAAAGGTTTTGTAGCACCAATGACTTTTTTCCTAAGACACTTGAGGGGTGTGTTTCACTTTAAAGTATTATTTTGTAAACAAGACCAAAAATATTCCGCTGATCTGTATTTTGAGCATATTTATAAACTCTATTAAAAAACAAATATAGCATGACTATAGCAGCTAACAGTGTAAAATTTAAGTATATTGAAAAATATAAAGATATAAAAGGCTTCCATAATCCAATCATGCAGAGGTAAACCACTTCATTTAATTACACAAGTGATTCTGTACAGTTATCTATGTACACATAGCTCCATGAGAATATTGTTAAAGAAAATGAGAACTTTTATCTTTAACTCACCAACATATGAGAATTTAAATAAATTAACTGGATCTCACAGTAATTTTCAAAAACACAATGATCTTAGTAAGAATGAAATCATTTTGACTTGATTCCCAATGGCATTCAATTTTGATTTGCTTTGTTTTTTAAATTTAAAAGCGAAGTATAAAAAGAGGATGACAAAATAAAGTTGAAGGTGATCACATGTGGTCCACATCCATTAACCAATCAAAATGGTTTACCACAAGTATGGTCTCTTCATACAGTATTTTTTGATTCTAATATAGTATATAAACCACCACTGTAGGAACAGAGAATCTTTTCTTGAAAATAAAAACTACCAAACTAGTCTGGGAAAATATGAACTCCCTGTGGCTATCTGCTACTTGGCTTATGTGAACCAAAAGAAAAATTTAATTAAAAAATAAAAAAAGTCTTGTACACAACTAGGTAATATTAGACCTTCCAAATATGTAATTTTCCTGTAAAATGCCATGTATAATCAATGTGGATCAAAGTAGATAATCTACATAATGAATGATGTATTCATTACATTGTTTTATTGTTCAGTAAGGACAATCACAATGCATACTCTTAGGGGAAAAAAACATTTGCACCCAAAAAAAAAGTTTGATTGGATAGAACTACAATTTTTTTTAAAACCATAAGCTAAATAGAAGCAGTGTAATTTACACCTTTCTAATAAAGAGTCCTCCAACTTCTCAAATGCCTCCTAAGAATCTATGAATACTTTAATTCTGTGAAAACATTTTTGATCTCCTTTATAAAAAAGATATTGTGAGTGAATATTCAGAATGAGACTTAGTTGTACTTTTTAGAATTCTAAGCTGAACTACTTATAATTTATGAATATACTTTTTAAGCATTGAAAACTAACCCTTAACGATGTCAGACACACACTATTTCCCCTTGCTTTTAAGATGGTCTTTGATGTCTTGATTACATGAAAAACTGTGTAAATTAGAAATTTATTTTTCAGTATTTATAATCAATATACCATAATTTTATTTTAAAGGAAAGAAAATCATTCTCCTTATTGGTTTTGAAAAGCTAAGGACTAAAAAAATTGTGTAAGTGGCCTTGGCAATGACTTCAAATAAGTATGTTCATAAAAAAAGGCAAGCTGTAATAGTGTGTAAAAATTTTTATCATCTGTTCAAAATTATTTTAAGTGGCTATTCTGACCATAGAAATATATCCTAAAACCACAAAAAATTAAAACCAAAACTTATGTTTAATTTTTTAATTAATTTTCTTCATTGTAAGTTGTTCATATTAGTAAACACATTATCATGGCTTTATAGATTTTCCAGACATAATTATCAATTTGGCTGAGACTGTATGTATCTCATATTAGGAAAAAAGAAGCATCATCTCTACTTTAAGGTGTTTTAAAAAACAAATGGCTATAAAGGGGAAAAAAACATTTATGGTAGGTCACACAGAGCATACATTTAGATACACATGTGGAGTGGGGTGTATGCTTAAAGAAATGTAAATATAAAATGCTAATTATAGTACATGTAAACATCTACTCAAATTGATAAAGAGCAAACAAAATGATAAGATGATAATATCATTAACAGTCGTCTCCAGACAGGAACAGGTCTTGCTCTTGTAGTCACAGAGCTAATTCAGGCAATGATGATCTCTCTCTGCTGGAAGAAGAGAAGGCTATTAAAAAAACTTCGAAAAGAGCAAATAAATCTAAAACTTGAATCACACCATAACTAGATCTCCAACTTTTCTAAACATTAAAACAAAATCTTTTTGAGAAAGGAATCAAAGTTGCAGACAAATTACACAAAGTATCAAGTTTGGGCTAAATGATTTTAACAAAACCTCTCTGCACCATGCTTCGGCTGCAAAGACCACAGTACTACAACACAGCTATGATTGAAAATTTTCAGTTAGAAAATCTAGTAACTGATCAGATAGTATACTTTCATAGAGGTGTGGGTAAGCAAGTAATTTTTAAGAAATCATGAACAATTTCCAAGGTATTCTAAATAAAAATTAAAGCAAAAAATATTTGTCTTAAAGTTTCCCAAAGATTTCAAAATTTTTGTAAGGTATACCTAATTAAGCTACATATGATGATCATTTCAACCTTTAATTACCCTATAAAAGTCTAAACTCAGCACCAAGGTCAACAACAAAAACAATTTTAAAAAAAGGAAGACATAAAAATAAGCTAGCTCCTGGTCTATGAAAGAAGAGCAGATCAATAAAAAAACAGGAAATGATTTAGGAAGGGATAAATACAAAAATTTGAAATAAAAAAGTTTAATTAAAGAGTGTTATCATTTACACTGAATAATGAAAAGAAATACTGACAAACCGTAAGAAAGGTATTACCAAAGTAGGTGTTTTTCTACTAAGCAAATATGATGTTTTTATTAGTAATAACTGACAGTGGCAATCGTATTCACCAATATTTCTTTCTTTCCTATTACTTTTAGGCAGCTATTTAAAAAGATTGTTTCTTCTGATAAGTGTACATCAGTAAGAGAGAAAAAATGCAACTAATCTTTTCTAAAATCCTACATACATACCTTACAGTAACTACCCAGAGTTTAAGAAGTTAACAAAAGTTCCTCCTATCAGGGAAAAGGAATTTTCTCTCTGCCTTAAAAATATTTCATAACAGTGATTTAATTCTACATTAAATTTCCATTTTTAATTTACAGGATTTTTAGATGAAGAAAAGTCCTGAGGGAAAGACCAGTAAGTAAACTAACTTAGTAATCCAGAATTTCATGCAAAACATTTTTGTTTGAAAAGGCTAACAGACTTCCATGAGAGGGGGAAAAAGCTTATAAAAATTTATATAAATTCTAGGACTAATATATTACATTTAAGGGGAAAAAAGAACTATAGATTAATAAAATTTGTATAAACTCAAAAACAGCCATTGATACTTCAATATACCAAATAAGAAAATGTTTCCTTTCTTTGTGAACCTTTATACCCAATGGTTGGTACTTCAATTTAATTGGAAATACAGATTTCCCAATAACATTTAATAACAAGATACTTCCTTCAATTAAGCTCAGTCATACTTGCTACAAGTAATCAGCTAAAATAGTTGTCTCTGCAGTAAACTACTGGTTGTTACATTTGATCATATTACAATAAAACAGAAGCTGTGGAGTATTTTGTCATTCCTATGTTTTCATTAAATGTTTGGGCATCAATTAAATACTTATTTTTTAAAATGTTACAATTATCCAGTGACATTTAAAACACTGCTTAAATAAAATTTTGAGTGAAATATATAAAATGACAAGTCAACCAATCCTAGGTAATCCTAATCAATCTTTTAATCAGTAATATATATTTCCCTCAATTTTTCCTGTAAGTAGTTACCTACATTGCCCTTAATCCTTTTCCCACTCCCAATTCAGCCTGCACAGTCTGTTTACAAAAAATCAAAAACCTTGGATGGAGAACTACAGAATTACAGTGGTACCTCAGTTCACTATCACTTCTGATTGTAAATAATTTGCTTTGCAAACAGAAGCATTTGGCAAAATTTTTTGTTTGCAAAGTCTGCATCAGGTGACAAACATGAACATGGCCATTTTTCCTGCACAAACTCGAACGTGGCCATCTCTTCCAGAATCAAGGAATGAATTAAGTTCGTGAACCGAGCTACCACTATAGAAAATTTCTTTTAGGTACCATATTGTAAAAGAGAAAACTGAGACAGGATTTAAATTCATATTTGAGGGAAAAATGCTTAACAGGCAAATATTTTTAAACTCTGAGTTTAGAAGCAAAAGGAAAAGTTTTAATTGGGAAGCGGGAGTGCAAGTGAATATGACAGTTAATCTATATAAGTTCAACAGAAGTTGTGCCAGCAAATGCAAGCATTTGGGAATACTATATATAAAACTATACCAAGAGACATACCAATTATCATAACCAAATCTAAGTTGTTTCCAATGATAAGATGACAGAAACAACAGCAGCAACAACAAATGGAGAATTGACTTAGATATGTTAAATTATTTTAGATCAAACACTAATGTAGCACGAAGAAAAATACAGATCTGAAAGGGATCTTAGAAGTCATCTAGTCCAACCCCTTTCATTTTAAAGACAAGGAAACAAATTTGGATAAGGTAAGAGACCTGTCTAAGGCCACAGAATTAAAGAGTCAAGACCAAAAGCTCAATCTCTTAACCCTTGTCCAGTTATTTCTCTATTCTAGGTCACCTTTAGACATTTAAAAAAAAAGTGGGATGGACTAGATTAGTGACTCTCAGCAATTCTAATCACATACTATAGAAACCCAAAGGCTATGTCACCCCTGAAACTGACTACAAATATAATACTCCAAAATATTAATGCCTTATCTACTGATGTAAAAATTCTAGTAAGATTTCAGGTGTGTACCTCCATCAGTGCTTGTAACCCATCAAATGAGAAGCTTAACTGAGTCAACTGTTTAGCAAATAGGTCTCAGTGACTAAGGAGACTGTCAAGAGAGACTTTTGGAAAATTGGTAAGAATTAACAAGGGAGGTAACTGTCACCTCATTGTTGGATATTTAAATATGCATTCATTCATTATTTCATTCAACAAACACCTGAGTGCCCACATGAGCCAGGCTTTATGATAAGCACTACAGAGATAATAAGATGAATAAGACATGGTCCCTTTCCTAGAGGAGCTTGGAATATAGTGGGGAATACAGACATATAAACCAGATAAATCATATTACAACGTAAGTATTATAACAGAGATATGAACAAACTGCTGTATTAAAAGGGAGCTGAAAATATGAACTGCCTAATGACCAAGAAGTTTGATTTTGTGCAGTATTTTTGAAGCAATAATTAGCATGTTTATTATAAACACAATGTCATGCTCGATCAATATTAGGAAGGAGGTAGCAATGCAGAAAAGTTGGCATTGAAATCGGAATGCCTGTATTCAAATCTAGTCCTTCCACTCCCTAGCTATGACTTTGGGTAAGTCACTCTACTTTTACTAACCTAAGTTTCCTTATCTGTAAAATGGTAATTAACAACTACTTCAAAGAACTACCTTAAGTTTTAAAGAAAACATGAAACTACATGTACAGTACTAGTATTTATTTTTAAAACACAATAGCAACATAATACTGATATTTATAATATATTAATGCTTATAAAAGTGTACCTGCAAACCTAATTAATGGTGGTAATATTTAATCCTCATACTTTGGGATCAAACAGAAACATAGAGTCTTTCGATTCATTCAAAGCAACATAGCTTACAACATTTTAAGTTCTAGGTTACTAAAGAGTTTTAGGCTATGGAAATTGATTGGCTATCTATGGGTTGAAATAGAGCAGGTAATTTGTTACATTATATGGCTAGAATTTACTAATCAAATTACAGAGCCAAAACCATCATGGAGATTTAACTGGCCTTGAAAGATTTACTTTCTTTATAATACCTGTTTGGTGTAAAGAGAAGAAACGTGAGCCTCTGCCAATTTGGCACCTTTCACGACTACTAAAAAGAAAAGAAAACAAACTTACCTAATGAATCAGAATAGCACATAGTCAATATACAAGAGACTACATAAAAATATATAAATCTACGTTTTTGACTAAAGTTAGTATTCTGACAACTAAAATCTGACTTTGAGATTTTAAATATAAATGTGTACCAACTATAAGTCAAAATACTCCTACGAAATAGTACTACTTTCACGAACATACAACTCTAACTCCAACTGTAGGGGAAAAATACAATAATATGCACAAGTTACTCCACTGCCAGAAGACTATGGTGGTGGTGGTAGGATAAAGATTTTGTTTTTAGGACCCCAATATGAAAGAAAGTGATATTTTAATGTTTTTTAAAAAAACAGTATCACTATAATCACAAAAGGCAGAAACACTTGCAACCAAAATGAAGGATTTTAAAGGATAAATATAAAATTCCCCCTCATTCTACAAAGAATATATTTATTTTCTGAAAACTGCTATGCCAATTTTCACTGATCATGTTCACTTGCCAGAGAAATCCACTTAAAAATCACAATATTGTTGCAAATGTCAAAGATTTTTACACAAGTATAGGAAATGCACACTTAAAAGTATCAGACTGAAACACTTACCAAACAGTGTTTTCCTAAAGTAGTATCTATAGTACATTTCTTTATTCATACATCTTCAAATGGTCAAGTTTTCTCTCATACATCCAAAATGTAATATGATGTTTTCTTATTCACCAAATGTTAGCTCTACTTGAAGTCTGGTTCCAAACTAATCAGCCTGCTTTTAAATTTTAAGACATCTGTTGAAAATTTATAGGATCAAACCAAACTGAAGTGGTATAAATTTTAAACATTGGACTGTACATTATTATTATAAAGTTACCAGTAACCATTATTAAGAGTAAGTTAGTGATTATAGCTCCTTTTGTGATAATTAGGGGAAAGGGTACCATCACCGTCTGGAATGGTCTATTTATTATTTATTTTAATTTTTTTCTCTTTTTTTTTTTTCTTTTTTTTCTTTTTCTTTTGTTTTCTTTTTAAGAGACCATTCCACTTTATTTTTAACATCCAGATGCATAAGGGCTCATATGTAAAGCAGTCATACACCATTATCATTAAAACCCATGTGGTAAAATACATACACAAGTCCAACAAAAGCCTAATACATAGTAAAGCCTAAGCATACTACTATGTAATATTAATACATAACTTGGAGACTTCAGTAAGGTACTATGTTATCTATTCATTTTTTTAAAACATTCATCAAGATTTTAAATGCAAATTCATTCCTTATTTGGACTAAAACAAAATCTTCTAAATTATAACAAGTGTTGGGTCATAAGTTTTCAGACCTACTCATTAAATTACAAAGAACCCAAAGAATTCTGTAATGTTCAGTAGAAGTATGTAATAAAAACATTGCATATGTTCTAGTGTGATGTCTTTAGCAATTGTTTACTGAAATAAAATGCAAACATCAATCTTTTCAAAATACAGGATCAGAAGGTATTTTTCTTCTCTTTTGTCTATTTGTGAAATCCATCTTCATCACATTTTACCAAAAATTGTTTTACAAATATGTAAAAGTACATTAGATAATACTAATAAAACACAGGTAGAGTTCTAGCATATGCAGATCAATGATCAGTCAAATCATCTTCTCCAAGAACGAGATTCATTGTCCTCTTCTTCTTCATCATCATCTTGAAGTAATGAGTCATCCACCAAAGACTCTTCCTGAAACTTTAGGTTAAAACGTATTTAGGAATTTACCCAAAAAAAAAAGAAGAAAGAAAAAGAAAAACAGGTGACACTTTTAAACACTGATCTCTCTCTGAGTTGAATACAAAAGGTATTTACATAGCTAGAACATTAAAGAAACAAAAAGCAACCTTTATTCAAAGATTTCTCTACAATATCTATACTACTGCTTGCACGAAACAGCACTAAAGAAATGCCAAATCAAGACTTTGCACATGCCGTATTTCCTGACTCTTAACAAATTTTGCCATCTTCCATCCTTCAAAATATTGCTCAACACTTGTTTAGAAAAAGAAAACATCAGTTTTCTCTGACCTTAACTCTGAACACTGAATCAACAAATGATTTTATGTAAAATTCTACCATGATTTCTGTGTCTTTTCTGCTATATGCACATTTTCTTTTACAGCATTCCTTTCTTTTCCCCATTTCCTTCATAAATGCTTCTCAGACTGCTTGTCCAAACTTTTCAAAATACCTAATACCAGGAGCTCGCCTGCTTTTCTCCCCATTCAATTCAAACTCATGGAAGGACAAAGGTATAATCTAAAATATAAAATGACAAATCATGTATATGAGTTTCAAAATACACATTTTATTCTTGCATTTACTATGGATATGTATAACAGCCTTCAAATGCTCTTCAAACAAAATGAAGTGCTCTTAAGAAAATCTAACAAAGATAAAACAGAATCATTTAGTTTCCTCACCTTACCTTTATTTCTTAAGTTCAACTTTTCCTATAGTTTGTTTTTATAATTAAGCAAAACAGTTGCTTACGTTTAATTTTTTGGTTTGAAAGGACTCTTTCACCTTACTGTGCTACATACTCACACTTTTCAGCCATCTGACAGCTGTTATGCAAGAAAAATGCATTCTTCCATTCCTATCCTAAAGCTTATGGTTCTGCCTAAAATACCTGTCCCAGCACTTGGTGATGGAAAGCTATTTTATCACTTAGGGCCCAGTTCCACTGTCAATGCCTCCTTCAAAATTCTTCTAGTCAGAAATAATCATTCCTTTCTCAGGATTCCCACAGCATGTTGTTCAAATCTTTATTCAACACAGCAGCCTGCCTATTATTGTAATTAGTTTCTTGTGTATCTGCCACCACCCTCCTTTCCAGATTATAAGCTCCTTGATAATAGGGACCGTGTCTTATTCATTTTTGTGCCTCTTACAGAAGCTACCATACAGCAGGCATGCATTTTAATGAACTAAAACAAAGTGAATTTTTAAAAAGCTAATATGTTAATATAGCAATTGAGTAGAACAGGTACCTTAAAACTTAAAATATACGTTTTCCTGTGGATAAAAATCTAATGAATAAATACTATCTTCTAAGAATGAAAACTGTGCATGTGTGTGTCTATATGAATGCATGTATGTGTGTGTGATTATCATATATTCTTTTTAGATTAGCAATCAACAGTTCTTCCTATTAATCCAGAAAACTTAAGAATTGTCAGCATTTATCTGTCTGGAATATGGCTCATGAGTGAAAGTTTTACGTCAAAATCATAGCCATAAAAAGCACATTTTATGTGTACACTAAGAACAATTAAAGGCAAGAAAAAGTGGAAAACAAAACATACTTCCTCTTCATCAGGCTCAATTTCTTCTGTTTCCACAGCTGAAATATTAGTTATTGGTTTATTCCATGCCAGTTTTAGATCCTGCCCTTTGAAACGAGCTCCATGAACTGCAGCCTAAAACAATTAAGAACATCGGTGGATAGAAGATAAGTAATTTCTGAAGAAAGAACTTTTATATAGCCTAATATTTTAAAAATTAGCTAAACTTGCCAGGGATTTAGCTCGGTAGTTCTACTGCCTGCCTCACAAGCCCAAGATCCTGAGTTCAATCCCCAGTACCCCCCTACCCACCAAAATTAGCTAAACTCAAATGAAGATAGCTTATTTATTTGCTTTTGGGTTAGTTTGCTATTATTATAATTTACATTCTAGGATATTTACTTCTAAAATCAGACTAGTGATTCCAAATACTTTTCTTTTTGGTACCAGGGATCGAACTCAGGACCTTGAGCTTGCGAGGCAGGTGTGGTGCTACTAAGCTAAATCCCTAGCCCTCCAAATACTTTTAAAAAGAAATGAAGAATTTCTCATAATGGAGTGAAATTATTTTACTACTGACCAATATTTGACTAGACAAAATATATTTATGTTTACAATACAATGATAAATATGATTTATAATCCCAAAGCACTTAAAGATCTTGACAGTAGCTTGTGAATCAATGTCCAAATTAGGATTAATAGGCCAAATGAATTTTATTGCATTTTAACTGTTAAATTTACAAATGATATAGTAACTATTAACTAGAAACTTTTAACAAAGAATAACTGCACATGTAAAGTAGCATATTATTTTCAAGTCACATCAATGACCATGACTTCAATAAAATGTTTGCTATGTCACTAATACAAATTATAAACACCTCAATGAAAAGGAGAAAAAAACTAAAACTTTCTATTGAAAGTATAATAATTCCTACTAAGCTCTTATAAGTGAGTATGTTAAACTTGAACTTAAGAACACTCGAGCCAAGTAACTGCTACATCAAGTGGCTGTTTAGAACAGTGCATTCAAATTACAAGTAACATGAATGAACATTTATCATCTTAGCAACATACCTAAATAACTCAGTCACAAAAAGATTTGCAGTACAATCTTAAAGTACAGTATGGTGTGAAATGAAAAACAGTTCAATGACATATGACCATAAGTTGTGTGATATTAAAGTTTCCAGGTATAAATTTTCAATCAGCACACACAAATTTATGATAAATTCAAAAGACTTCATATCCATTAAAATGGAGTTCATAGTTTTCTAAGTTCATAGGCTTATCTCAATGTCACACAACAAATATTTGTAAGCTATAATCATTACATAAAAATTTATCCCAGCACCCGGAAGGAAGCCCCCCGCCTCCATCCCAGGCTCCTAGGGCAGTGAAGCTGAGCCGGTCCCAGCACCCGGAAGGAAGCTCCCTGCCTCCATCCCAGGCTCCTAGGGCAGTGAAGCTGAGCCGGTCCCAGCACCCGGAAGGAAGCTCCCCCACTGCCATTCCAGGCTCCTAGGGCAGTGAAGGTGACCCGTGTGGGCACCAGAACCACCCCCCGCCCCCTGCCGTGGAATGAGAAGACACATAAACAAGCCTCAAAAACAGACTTCTGGATCACCTACAGAAACCCCAAAGGGAAACAAGATGGAACACTCTGATACTCAACCACCTGGACTCTCTGAACTGGCAACAAAAGAGGATTTGG